CATCACCACCATCACCATCACCACCATCACCATCACCACCACCACCACCACCACCATCACCACCATCACCATCACCACCATCACCATCACCACCATCACCATCACCACCACCATCACCACCATCACCACCATCACCATCACCACCATCACCACCATCACCATCACCACCACCATCACCATCATCACCATCACCACCATCACCATCACCACCACCATCACCATCATCACCATCACCACCATCACCATCACCACCATCACCACCACCACCACCACCATCACCATCACCATCACCACCATCACCATCACCACCACCACCACCATCACCATCACCACCACCACTACCATCACCATCACCACCATCACCATCATCATCACCATCACCACCACCATCACCACCATCACCACCATCACCATCACCACCACCATCACCATCACCACCACCATCACCACCATCACCACCATCACCATCACCACCATCACCACCACCACCATCACCACCATCACCACCATCACCATCACCACCACCATCACCACCATCACCACCATCACCACCATCACCACCATCACCATCACCACCACCATCACCACCACCACCATCACCATCACCATCATCACCACCACCACCATCACCACCACCACCATCACTACCACCACCACCATCACCATCACCACCACCATCACCACCACCACCATCACCATCACCATCATCACCACCACCACCATCACCACCACCACCATCACCACCATCACCACCATCACCACCATCACCATCACCATCACCACCACCATCACCACCATCACCACCATCACCATCACCACCACCATCACCACCATCACCACCATCACCATCACCACCACCATCACCATCATCACCACCACCACCATCACCACCACCACCATCACCATCATCACTACCATCACCATTGCCGCCACCACCTGTTGCCACAGCTGTCACCACCATATTTGGGTAATTCCTATGAGTCCTCAGTTATCAGCTTAAATGCCATTTTCTGTTTTTTGGTTTTTGGTGCTTTGTTTTGTCTTGTCTTTTTTGAGACAGGTAGTTCAGCCTGGCCTTGAACTCACTTTGTAGCCCACACTAGCCTTGAACTCACAGTGATCCTCCTGTCTCAGCCTCCCAAGTGCTGGGAGAAAATGAGGCCCAGAAAGAAGGAGGAACTGTCCCAAGGTCACACATGATCTGGGGCATAGCTTAGGATACAACCTTGACGCTTGGTCTCCGCTAAAGTCGTTCCACATATGCTGCTCTGAGCCGACAAGGGCCCCACAAGTACACAGTTCCCCAACTGCAGTAGTCGCTGCAGCCGAAAGAAGTCAGGAGTGAGGAGACCTGGTTTCAAGTCCCACCTCCGCCATCATTGGTGGTGTGACCACGGGTAACTCACTGACTTGTCTGAGCATCAGTACTCTTGTCTGCAAAGAGGACAGCGGCAGTCCAGCCCAGACCTGCTGCTACAGTCAGCACTGGGTGTACAGGGGACTGAAGTGTCTGTTATGCTGAGGACTGCATTCCACACAGCATCCTATCTGGACCTTCAACTCCAAGGATGCCACAGCCCTAGCAGATCCCAAGTCCAGACCGCAAAGACTATTTGGAGATGCTCTAATTCTCAGCCAACAGCAGACCCCCCTACCTCCAAGTATACAGCTGTGGAGGGACTCCAGGTCCAATCCAAAAAGGTGTCTGCAGAGCACCCAATTCCCAGCCAAAAGCAGGGCGTAGAATGCTCTCCTTTTTAAAAATTCTACAGTTCTTGCACTCTCTCCAAATCTGGTATGCAAGAGTGCTTAGAGATTCTATCCCCCATCAGGCAGCAATCCTCGGAGACTCCAGATCCAAATCTAAAACAGTATTTGAAGACCCTCCAATCCTCAGCCAACAGAAGGGTTTGGGATTCTCTCCTCTTTGAGCTTACCATAGTCCTTGGACTTCTCTCCAACTTCTGGCACGCAGCAGTGCTTGAGATCTCACCTCCCAGCATGCAACAATATGTACATTCCATTTCCCAGCATGCAGTAGAGCTTGGAGCAACCATCTCCCAGCATGCAACAGGGTGTAGAGATCCCACTTCCCAGCATGCAACAATATGTACATTCCATTCCCAGCATGCAACAGGGTGTAGAGATCCCACTTCCCAGCATGCAACAGTGTGTAGAGAGCCCACCTCCCAGCATGCAACAGTGTATAAAGACTTTATCTCACGTCATACCACAATTCTTGGAGATATCACCTCCCAGCATGCAGTATCTTCCGTCTCCAGATCCTTAACTCTCACCTGAGAGGCCGAAGCAGACAGCTCCCACTCGGAGCAAGAACTCTGCACCTTTACTGAGCACCATGATGATACAGAGGCAGCCCAAGGCCATGAGCACCAGGCTCAGCACTGCTATCACTGCAGCTGCTATGTTCACCTCTGTGAGGAGGGAGAGGGAAGAAGCAGAGAACTTGTGGTGAGGACAGTGGAGAGGACGCCTCTGCAGGAACCCAGAGCCAGGCAGGCGGAAGACCCTGGACTAGAGAATTTTCACGTGGGCCGTCCAGTCTGCAGCGGTTAACCTGGCCATCAACTCAACCGGGTTAAGTGCCTGGGCAATGGGCAAAGCACCTTCTGGGTGTGCCTGTGTGGTGTCTCCACAGAGGCCTGGCGTATGGGCCAGAAGCAGGAGGAGACCACCCTGCATGTGGGGGCGCCGAAGCAATGGAGCCGCGGCCATGGACTGAGACTCGCACACCGTGAGCCTCAGCCAACCTTCCCTCCCCTAGCTGTTTCCCTCCGTGCTTGGCCGCAGGGACAGACCCTGACCAAATCACAGCCCAAGTCCCGCTTCCACCAGTGGAGGAGCCAAGACTCAGGGAGGGTCAGTTTTTCAGGCAGGTCACAGGCAGAGAGCAGCCAGAGCCAGGATCACCACACGCTCCTCCTCATCCGCTCGCCGTTGGTTCACAGGGGAGGAAAGGAGGCAGCAGGGTGTGCGGTGGGCGTGGCAAGGGCAGCTGCCATGGTGAACTGACCCGGGTGGGAAACCCTTCCAGCCGCTGCCAAGCTGGGGACTCCGGAAATGCTGACTCCCGCTCGGCGTTAGCTTCTGCCTCTGGAAAATCTGGGGTCACAGCTGCACCTCCCAGGCCCATGTGAGGATGCCGCACTCACGGGGGTGCCAGTGTGTGCCCCAGGGGGTCTCATCAGAGTCAGAGAAGCTGCCTTGCCCTTTAAATGTGGGCTTTAAGTTTTAAATTGAAGCCAGGCATGGTAGTGCATGCCTATAACCCTAGCGCTCAGTAGGCTGAGGCAGGAGGATTGCCACAAGTTCAATAGCCGGCCTGAACTATATAGGAAGACCCTGCCTCAAATAAATAAGTAAATTAATTAATTAATGAACTTAAAATTGATTTAAATTCAATGGAATTTAAAGCTCCTCTCCCCTGTCATGCCAGCCACATCCTCATGCTCAGGAGCCTCATGTGGCTGCCGGCGGCCACCCGGAGCCACACAGGCAGAGCCAGCTTCCCTTCCGCGGGAGACCCGGGGGCCGGGCGGCTTGAGAGTTGCACTGGGGTATGATGCCTGCCTCTGCTGCTTCCTGGAAGAAGGTCCCAACCCTTTCTGGACTTTTCTCCTCTGGGAACTGAAGACAAAGCCCCCGAGCTTCGGGCTCAAGGCCAGGACTGGACATTGTACGCTGCCCCCTGCCATGCTGAGCTCCGACCAGGTGCCCATCTGAGAAATGTGCACAGAAGGGGACAGTCACTCACCCTCAGTCACACAGCGTGTGCCGCAGGCAGCCCGAGGCCGCGACGCCAGGCACGCAGCCAGGGGACTGCAAAGCCGGGACAGCCTCAGAGAGCAGACCCCACGCTCACCGGGACCCAGCAGCGGAGCGCGGCGCCATCAAGGCGTCCTGCAGCGCGGTCAGCCCGTCCCGCCCTCCCCCGCTCGCTCGGAAGTCCTCACCTTTCTTCGTGGTTCTCTGGAAGATGCGTGCGTTCTCCCCCGTGGTGAAGAATTTAAAGTAGGTGCAGTTGGCTTCTGTCAGGGAGGAGAGAAAAGGGAGATGGCCGGAAGTCCTGAGCGCTCTCAGGGCTGCACACCTAGCAGCTCAGCGGGCGTCCACGGGGGACAGCAGAGGGACGCGGTGCTCGGAACCACACACGCCACCTGCTGCGGCACGTGAGGGAGCCAGGGCTCTGAGGTCCAGAGTCATTAAGCTCTCGGGTCCCTGATTCTCCGCCTTTAAAATGAGGTGATAATCTTTTTCCTGGCTTCTCAGCGTGGGTCTGCCCAGGGTCAAGTAGGATTAGAAAAGGATCATCGCTTTACTCAACAAAGACGCCGCGAGGCAGGCACCTCCGCCTGCATCCGGAGCGAGCGCACAAAGAGCTCCCGCAGATTAGCGGGCGCAGAGGCGCCCAGCTGGACAGCGAAGGCCGCGAAGGGCGTCCTCATGAGAGGGCGCCGGGGGAACTCGCAGGAGCGGCGGAGAGGCTCTGCTCCAGCAGGAATCAGAGAGGGGAGCTGGAGTCCGCGGGGGAGGCACGCACCGTGAATTAGACGGGCGGAGATGAAAAGGGCAGGATCAAGCGTGGGCGGATAAGAGGAGGCCGCTGGAGGCAGCCCGGCGCTCGGCTCCGGGAAAGGACTCGGATGCGCTTTATGAATGAAGCGCAGCGGCACCTGTGCAGGGCGGGCCACGTGTACCGCGAAGACCGGGTCACCTAGTGACCTTCTAGCCATCCTGGGGTGCAGCAGAACCCCATGATGTTCTCGTGGGGCGAAGTCCCCTGAGGACGCATCTCTCGGGTCGTGTCCCATCCCTGAGTGACACCTGAGGGGACGTCACGGACTCCACAATGTCCCTGTGGGTGTACATCCCCCCAAAGCCATCAGGAGCCCAGGCGAGAGGCTCACTGCAGCTTCGCTTATCACTAACAAGTAGGGAGCCTCTCGTGGAGGCGCACGCCTGTAATCACAGCACTCAGGAGGCTGAGGCAGGAAGATTGCTTTGAGCCCGAGGCCAGCCTGAGCTACATAACAAGACCCTGTCTCAGAAAACAAACAAACAAGCAAACAGATAATAGGAGTAGGAATCAACCCAGGGGTCCACCCATCCAGAACTAGACTGGGAGATCGCTGTAGACATAAAGGACAACACAAGCAAGATGAGGGGATCTGGGGAACAGCGTTGAGCAAGAGGAATTAGGTTAAAAATTTAAAACAGGACAAAACCTAGAGTATTCATATCACATATGCAATTGAAAACATGCAGACATGTGCAGACACATAAATAATCCTGTCCATGTGTGTCAAACACATGAAAGGGTGCAGTCAGGAGCTGGCTGTGGTGGTGCACCTCTGTGATCCCAGCGCTCAGGAGGCTGAGGCAGGAGGATCACTGTGATCCTGGGCTGCACAATGAATTCAAGGCCAGCCTGCAGTATATGGCAAGACCCTGTCTCCAAAAACAAAAGAACAAATAACAAACAAAAAAAAAAGGAGTGATTTCTGTGACATCAAGGGAGGAGCAGCCTCCACTGCATTAATTCTGTGTACACTAGGTCCACCCAACCTTCTACTTTAAAAGGGGCAACTTTCTCAAGTGCATTTTGGAGCCAGAACTTGTCTCAGAGTTTGCCTGGTCTGTCCCACTCTCCTATTCCACAGATGGGGAGACTGAGGCCTGAAGAGGGGAAGGGAGGTAGAGAAGCACAGGGCTGAAGAGCTCAGGTGCCGTGCAGCCCGGAGAGGGGCGAAGGCGTGCCTCCTCCGTGCAGCAGCAGCTGCTGCTGGGAAACGCAGTCTTTGCACTGCGGAAGCGGGCGTCTCTTCCGGGACAGCGTGCTGTACTGAGCATCCGCTCTGGCTACTAGTGGCCGAGGGACCTCGAGTCTCTTCGCTCTGGGAGGATGCAGTGTAAGCCACTCGGAGAGCCGGTGTGAGTCAGCCCGGCAGCTAAAGGAAACCGGAGCCGGCTTCATTTCGAAGCGTGGGCTGTTTCTGAGATAATGCACGGGAGCTGTGCTCTGCGGGGCAGGGTTACAGGGCAATCAAGCTGGCCTGTCCTCTCTGGCCAGTCGGGGGGGACAGCCAGGGATATGAGGGACACCTCATCTGCACTGAGGCAGGAGGCAAGACCCTGTAGACACAACGAGGACGTTCTTTCTTTTTGGTACCGGGAATTGAACTCAGGACCTTGTGCTTGCCAGGCAGGCACTTATGCCGCTGAGCTATATCCCCAGCCCTCTTCCTCCGACAAGTGAAATGCATCATAATGTAGTGCTGAGGAGCAGGGACCCCCACACTCCAGTCCCGTATAACCAGCCTGTGGGAGACAGCCCCAGGGTTCCTTGCTCCCCATCTCCGGGAGACTGTGGCATGGTAAACACTCCCGGGCTGCTCTGACTGTCGTAAATGATTCTGCGAGAAGCACCTGGAAGAGCTCTGGGCTCAACCTAAGCATGAGTCTTTACCATCAGAGCGTCTCACTGAGCCAAGCTTGGGCTCACCCCGCCTGAACCCTGGAGACAGGACAGTCGAAGACAGCAGGTCTGGCCACACACAGAGCTCACACAGCGCGGGGGCCTGCATCCCGCACTCCGCTTTGCTATCACGCACTGGGGACACGCTGCTCTGGACCCTACAGCTGTAAAATACCACACTGGAGAAGCAAGGGGCAGGGAAGGAGTCTGAGGATGGGATGCCCTTTGGGGGGTACTGCGATTCCAGGGCCTGCGGGAAGCAGAGGGACCAAACGGACTGCCCGGACGGGCTCCGAGGGGCGTCCTGTGTGTTCCTTGGGTCAGCAGAGGCGCCACACGCAGTCATCCATCTCCCCTGGGGTGCAGGGCGTCCCGCGGGACTTAAGGGCGCGGCCTGGCCTCTCCTGCAGTGAGGAGTTGGGACAGCCCTCTGGCACAGCCAGGGGCACAAACCACTGCCTCAGACAGCCAGGGCCGGAGTGGCTCTGGAGAACGTGAGAAGGGCTCACTGCAGTCCGGGCACTTAGAGGTGAGCCGCACCGGGAGGGAAGAGCGTGTCCCGAGTCCCTGGGCGCACGGGAGGCATAGATGTCCCACGGAGGGAGAAGCGACACAGATTCTGCTTTGGGGTGGGCGTCAGGGTGGGATGTAGGTTGTCCCCGGGTGACCGTTCTCTGCGGTGCAGGCTGCCAGGGTGGCGCAGGCCATAGCTGTCCAGAGACAAGCTCTAGGGCCACAGGTGGCATCTGAGGGCTCCATCTGCACAGGCTACAGTCGGGTGCAGAGCTGACCCAGGAAGGGCACCCCTGGGGGCCTGAATCTTCCCTGGGGGCCCTGGCCCGTTGTGAGGCAGGTTTCCGCAGCCCCGCCCCCCCACCCCGTGGGACGCAGCCCCAGGCGGGCGGCTCTCACCTCCGGGCAGCTCGGCGGGGCCGCAGGTGTCCCTGTCCTCGGGCAGGTCCGCCTGCCACAGCCGCTTGGTGCACACCTTCCACAGCCCCAGGTGCGCGGCCTCGCACACAGCGCTGCCGTTGGCCTTGTAGGTGTTGAGCTCCACCCAGAACTCGGTGCCCACGGAGAGCACAGACAGCGTGGCTCCCACAGCGGCCAGCAGCAGCGCCAGCTTGGTCTTGCCCTCGAGCTCGGGGCTCAGGCCGCGCTTCTGCTGGCTCTGCACGCGCCTCCGGCCCCGGGCCGCCCGCCGCCGGTCCTCCTCTTGCATGAAGAAGTTGGACCACATCATCATCATCCCAGCGAGGGACGCGCTCGGGCTCCAGCTCCAGGAGCAGCGCGGAGGGGCCCCGGGGTGCAGGGACGGGAAGGGGCGGAGGGGCGCGGGGCACGCTGGGTGACAGAGGACACTGTCCAACTCAGACAGGCAGGTCGAGGTCGCCCCTGGGCTCAGAAGGGCCAAGCTAGGCGCCCAGGCTGGGGAAGCCACGGAGGTTCAGAGGTGCCCCTGGCGTACCCGCGAGAACCCCAGGGCGAAAGCCGGGTCAGCCGAGGCCGCTGGCCCAGGACGCAGAGCTGAGGTCTCCCTGTGTTTGGAGACTGGGCTGGGTTCCTCCGGCCTCAGTCTGGGGATGAAGGAGTGGCAGTCCGGGGTGCAGAAGGGAACCTGGGGAGCCCAGGAGAGGCCGGCAGCAGACCCGAAGAGCACAGGCTGGGGTTCAGGGGGGCGGGAACTGAGAAGTGGCCTGGGGGCCCTACCATTCGGAGGAGGCTGCGACTGGTGTCTTCTGAAGACAGGGCGGGGGCTGCGCCGGGGCAGGGCGGGGGCCTGGGCTCCCACAGGGCTGCCCTCTGCGCTTCGATCGCAAGGCTCGGGCAAAGGTCCCGAGTGCCCAGGATCGCCGCGCGCCGCTGGGGTAAGGCCGGCACTCTGAGTCCCTCGGTGACCGCGCTGCCCCTCCCGGGGCTCCCAGGGCCGCGGGCAGCGCCGGCTCCACGCTCCGGCCTCCCACGCGCTCCTCCTCGGTGTCCCGGCTCCGCGGCCCGGACCTCAGGCTGCGCTGGGATGGGGCTCCCTGCCACCCCCGACTGGGCTATTTCGGGCACAGCCCGTAAATAACACAGCACCTGTCGCCCGCGCCTGTCGCCATAGGGACCCTGGGTATTTTAAGGGGACAGGAGGGAGGGGGTGAGGCCGGCGGAGGAGGGGCCGGGCAGGGTCTCCAGGGGGCCGAGGCAGGAGACTTTCCTGTTTCCCGAGGGCCAAGGGAGCTGAAAGTCCAGGGCTAGGATCCCTGAACTGGCACAGCCTTGGCAGGGCAGGCCTGGGGCGGGTGGGGGCTGGAGTGGGCCTTGGACCTGTGCCCAGCATCTGAGAGAGGAGGCCGCCCAGACCCCGAATCCGAGGGAGGAGGCCAGACCTGTCCCCTGGAAGAAGCCGCGGATCGTGACGCCTGGCCCCAGGGGAGAGGCACACCGGGCCCAGAGTCCTGGTCTGAGAGGCAGAAGGGGGGATTGTGTGCTGGGCCCCAGGGCAGGAAGGCCAGGCCTCGGGAGGGGCGAGGGTTTACAGAGACACGCGACCCACAGCAGCAGTGCTCTTCCTCGAGTTTATTAGACAGCGGGCCAGGGGGGACCTTCCATGCAGCTTCAGCTCCCTTGGGGGCGGGGCGGGACAGCCCTGGGACGTGGCAGCAGGGCCCGCTCGCCCCAGCCCCTGTGGGCCCAGGGGATGGGACCCCTCCCGCCCACTCCTCTGCGCCCCCACGGGCCCTCTCCACTTCTGCCCTGGAGCACACGTGTCCCCGGGGTGCGATTGTCTGCTTCTGCGCCTGGCTGTCCCACCGGACTGCAGCAGGGCCCAGGGGCCACAGGAAGTCACCTAGGCAGCCTGACTCGGCCTTGGAAAATGTGTGAGATGATCCATGTGTGAGTGAATGAACTGCAGGCGAAGAGGCGACACACACTCCCAGCCAGGGCAGGCGGGGCTGCATTTCCTGGCCGCCTGTGCACCCCGGAGTCCCCTCCCTGTGTGTCCATTTATCTGTGCGTGTGCCCCTCTAGCAGGGACAGGGCGGGGCGCGCTCTCGGATTACAGGGCCTGGCACCTGCCAGTCCTCCCCGGTGTCCCTTCCTGTCCGCCCCGGCCTTTCCAGGCTGGCAGCAGCAAGCCCTGGGCCTGCTGGGCCCTGCAGAGCCCCGCTTCCCTGCCCTGGAATTTGTCCCCGTGTCTCAGTCTCCACCTGTGCCACAGCCCGCTGGGTTCAGGGTGGAGTTCCTGGCACCTGGCCTGCACTTCGCCCTTGCTCTTATTTGTGACACTTTTTTTTTTTGTCTTTTTGAGACAGGGTCTGGCTATGCCGTCCAGCCTGGCCTTGAGCTCACTTTGTAGCCCAGGTAGGCTTCAAACTCGCCACAATCCTCCCGCCTCAGCCTCCCGAGTGCTGGGATTACAGGCGTGCGGCACCATGCCCGGTGCATTGTGTCACTTTCCACCACAATAATTACCTGGCTCCCCTTTCTCTCTGCTCCCCATTCTGCTGTGCTCAGCTGCATCCCCGGCCCTGAGCCCGCTTGGCCTCTCATCAAGATCATGTCCTGTGGGGGCACCTCGCTCCCCTCTGGGGCACTCCCGAGTTCTGCCTACCTACTGGTCACCCCCTTTTGGCTCCGTCCTCTGCCCCCTGACGTGAGTGTCCCTGGGGCTGCAGCCAGAGTCGCTTCTCTGTCCACATCCTCAGTCACTTTGTCCCATTTCGTGGCTTTAAGTGCTGATGCTTCTAAAACTTACATTTACAGCCATGACCTCAGCCCTCCCCTGGGCTCAAGGATGTCCCCGCCACCCGATACCTGGTCTTGGATGTCCCACAGGCATCTCCCACTTGCCGGGTCCAAAAGAGAAAGAAGCCTCGGTTCCTCCACCCAGAGGCCCGGCTGTCCCTCTTGGAGGGTCGGCGCGCCCAGCTGGGCCTCTGCTCTCCCTGCCTTGGGGTCTCGCTGCTCCCCCTCCCCCGTACATCCCGCTCACCACCGCCAGAACCCTGACCCCGCACCTCCCAGGCCTCCAGTTCCAGCTGCTGCTTCCAACTCCTGAAATCTACCCCGGCACAGCAGTGGGTCTGGCGTTGTTTTGTTTAAATAAATATATGACCCTGCCATGGCCGGGCTGAGAACCACCCAAGGCCTTCCCATCACATCCGGAACTCAAGATTTCTTCCCGGGGCTGTGGGCCTGCCCAGCCATGAGACTCAGGCCCAGCCCGCTCAGCGAGGCCTCCTTCAGGACCTGCTCCTCCGTTGTTGGCCAGGACGCCTGTGCCCCGATCTTCCGGCTACCTACCCCCTCATCTAGTTGGTCTGTCCTGACCTTCGGGAGCAGCTACCCACTGCCGCCCCACTCCCAGAATTTCTACTTCCATCTCCCTCCCCGGAGCGCAGGGCCGGGGGCACTCAGGAGGCCTGGCATACTGAGAGGAGGGCAAGCCACGAACCCTTCCTCTGACCCTTGCTTCCCACTCTCAGCCTGCACCTCTGAACCCTCCCAGGTGCTTCTCTCTCATCCTGCAGCGGACCTGTCTGCGGTTTATCCCCGCAGTCTGGCATGCGGTTTTTGTTTGTTTGATCTTGCAATGTCTGACCTCTGATTTGAGCATTTTTGTCGGGGTCTCTTCTGCTCCTTTTCCCCCTCAGCGACCACCGTGCTGGGCTCTGCCTTCTGCGCACTTCCGGGGCTCTCCCGCCCCGCCCTGCGTGCCTGCCCCTCCTTCCCCTCACCCTTCTTGGCCTGGCTCCCGAACACACCTCGCTGACGGTCTCCAGGACAGATCTCCGGGGTCTCCCCTGATTCCGCCTCCCTGACCCATTCCTCCCCCGCCTCGGGCCCTTCCCTCTCCTCCAACGCCTTTTGCTCCCGAGGTCCCGGCCAAGCTTGTCCCTGGCAGCCTGCACCCTGGCTGGCCGCGGCCCCTGGGTCTGAAGCGGGTGTCCTCCTCGGGAATGGGAAGGGCTGGGTGGACAGGGCGCACCGGGGGTGGCTCGTGGGAGCCGCAGGAGGGAGCTCTGCCACCCTCCTCCCTCCTCCAGCCTGGCTTCAGCCGCCCCGAGCTGTCCCGCTGCCCCTAGTCCCTGCCCTGCTCTGTTCTTTCCCGGGAAAACCCTTCCTCATCCCTCGCAGAACCTGCTGGTCCTTTGGACATCCCGACTGGGCACCACGTTCTCCAGGAAGTGGGCGCTGTCCTGTGCTCCTCGGTGCTCCCCACGAGCGATACAACACCAGCTCCCCCTCCCACCACACACACACACTGCCTGCGCTGCTGTTTGGAGGACACTAAGCTCCCGGCCAGCGCTGGTGCACCTCGGGGCTGGCCGAGCCGGACCCGGCATCTGGCACGTTAGCAGATGCCCGCGGGGTAGTGGTTGAATTACGGAGTGGAGCGTGGGTCCCCCGCGAGTCCCACCCACCGCACGCCACGGCTGTGTTCACTGTCTGCGCAGCGGCGCGCTTCCCCGTGAGTTCCCAGGGCCTGTGACTGACGCCGGTCCCGTCTGCACTCTGCGCGTGCCTGGTCCGCTCGTGCTTTAAGCCGCTCCACAACCTACACACCCGGCCCTGCCCGTCGCCCCACCCACTCCGGAAGCTCCTTCCTGCCCCAGGGCCTTGACGCACGCTGCTCTCTGCGGGCAGCCCCGGCTGGCTCCTGTCTGCTGAAGCCCTTTTTCCTTCCGGACGCCCCGGACACGCATCGTGCAGCAGCTCCCGTTTCTCCTCCGTCCTGACTGTACGCGCAGGGCTCTAATTAAGGTCTGGCTCGCGCACCAGATGTAAACTCCCCGAGGATGTCAGAGGTCCTACTTCCTCCCTCCGTGCCCAGCATTCCTCACGGCGCCTGGCAGCACTGCGCACAAAGGAGCGGCCGCAGTGAATGAATGAACCCCTGTCGGTGCCAGCGCCTGCCACAGCAGGTGCGGAGGAAGCCCTTGTGGAGACGAGCGGAGACGCGGGCGCGTGCGCGGCCGCCTGGGCCCCGCCTCCCGCACCGCGCGCGCCGGGCTGCGTCTCCGGGTGCCGGGCGAATGGATAGCTGTAGGAGTGACTCTAGATTCGGTGTTAGGCCCCTCTCCAGCAGTCGGGCTGGGCTGGGCTGGGCTGGAGTCCCTCCCTCCCCGCCCCCCGCCCCGCCCCCACATGCACACAGCAAAACATTAAAAAAAATCTCAAAACTGCAAAAAACACCACGGCCCTCCCCCCGCCCCCTGGATCCCACCAAAAAAATAAAACAGGTCGCTCGCCCGAGCCCCCTCCCCTGCCCCTTCCCCCGCCCCGGTCCCCGCTTGGAGGGGAAGGGAAGGGCGGCCCCGCGCCCCGGGCCGGGCGCGCGCGGGGCGAAGGCCACGCAGTCTGCAGGGCGCGCGGGGAGCG